CACCAGGAATAAATGGAGCATGAAGTTTATGAAGGACACTATCCATATGCATATTTCCAGCCAACCCCATACTCTCACCTTTGACTAATTCATTTATTCAGAGGGAAAACAAATACACAAAAGCTCAGATCATTTTAGATGAAGCCTTTTTTCCTCTCATCAATGTTATATAAGCAGCATATGGGTGACATCTTTGAAGTTTATGATGTTTTTACTGTAAATACAAAAGAACCCAAAATACTGACATTTGCTTCTTCAAAGTCCCATGAATTTATTTTCCTAAGACAATAAAATATTTAGGCTGCTTTACTTCCACCACCAAAATCAATAAGCCACTTGAAAGAACTGGTCAAGGTCAGACATCAGGCTTCCAACTACAGTGGAGGGTTATCAAACCGGCTTAGAATGAGATGATTCTAGTTCCAAATCTCACTCAATATCCTTTGGCCCATCTTCACAGAATAAAGTCTGAGAATAAAGTCTCCTCTAAAAAAAAGTTTTTGTGAGAACACAAGTTGTCATGTACACTCTGACAAGCTCAGCAAGTTCACCCTAATTGAACTACAAGGCTCGGGAGGGTGGCTGACAAGAACCAGAGAGGCCGCATCCGTCCCGAAGAAGTAGGAGGGTCCCCTGAAAAATGAGCTGAAGACCATGAAACGTGACACTTTTTAGCAGACTGAGCACCTTGGTGGCACATCTAACAATGAGAGGGGAGAGTTTCAATGACAGACATAGAGTGGCCAAAAGTGACCCTATAAAAAGACATCAGTAAGCAAGGAAAGGTCAAAATGTGACAAGTGATTTTTCAAGCAGAGCGTAGGCAACAGTGTACCCACGGTAGGAAACAAGCCAATCAACAGCAAAACACTTAAAATTGAAACTGAGACACCATTCTGAGGATAATTGTTAGTATTTTCTTTTTTTAATGAAATGGATTTGACGAAGAAAAATGACACCTGAGAGAAAACAGTGATTATCAGTAGATAGGTAGGGATGATATGTATATTTTTATATATTTTTTCTGTATGTATTTTCTAAATTTCCTATAATAAAAAATATACCACGAGGTTTGGAGAAGAAAGGAAGAAAGAAGGAAAATATACTACTTTTATTTTTAATTACGAGGTTTTTCCTTACAAAATGGGTAAGATCAGCATCCAACTACAAATACGGGTCAATTTAAGATATTATCTATAGATATCTAAATCTCCCTCATCAGACTCGATACTTTCATGGACGAGACCTTATTTTATTGCGCCTGGGAACCCCAATGTCTACCACAAGGCCTAAAATAATTAGCTGCATATATTTAAGAAATGTTTAGCAAATGATTTCTGGATGTGGCTACAAACCCAAAGTCTGGTATAACTTCAGGAAGGTGCAAGAGCAAACAGTCTTTTTATGGGATATATGCCAATCATCCCAATAGACACATTACCCACATTATAGCTTAATGTCCCTTGCTACTCAAATTTTCCATTAAGTCCTTTGTCCTCCCTCGCCTAGCTTCCTTCCCTTTAGCACTCCTATGGAATTGAACGATGCTGTTTTGCCGGGGTCTTGCTCTGCACGAAGCTATAGGGACCACCACTATGATGTCCCGCTTGTGTTTCTTACAGAGATGTGCAGTCCACTCCAACACTTTGAGAGAACCCATGGGAAGTTTATTTCAGATCTCAGTGCCATTAAAATAACTCTTCTCTGAGAAAGTAACACATTTTATTTTTATGAACAGTAGGAATCTTATAATTGATCTTTTTTACCTTTATGCTGGAAGCCGAGAGCCAAATCTATAGCCACCCTTTAGAAACTTTGGCGGACCTTAGGACACGCGTGTCCTTTCCTCTGGTTTCCTCTTATTCTTATTCTTCCCTCCCTCTATATGGCTCTTTCCCTTCCTTCCCTTTCCTTCTTTCCTTCCTTCCTTCCTTCCTTAACTGTCATCTGGGATGAGGCCCTGTATAAACAAACCAAGAAACCAAAAATTAAATACAACCCGCTACCCCCAATTCCAAGCTGCTTCAGACATTCTTCACCCATGAATCCTGCCTGCAGGACAAGAAAGTAAAGCTCACTCCCCTCACTGCTACCAACCAGGGGGTGACCTTCATGTGCATCTGTGAGTGGAAGATCTGACGGAGGACAAGAGGCACTTTCCTTTCCACTTCCACCCCCCAGCTCTAAAATACACAAGACCACACACGTGAATGGTGCACGGTGATGTAAGGCAGAATAGCATTATGAGTAGGAACGCAGATTCTTAAATCAGACTACCTGGGTGCTACTCCTACCTGCTCCTCCCTACCTTTCTGTGCCTTGCCTTAATTTCCCAACCCGTGCAATGGGAACAATAATGGTAGTAACCTCACAGGGTTGTTGTGAGGAGCAAATGAGTTAATACATGTAAAGTGATTATATCAGTGCCCGGCACACAGTAAATGTGGACCAGTACTAAAATAGGACAGTTTTGTTTTCTTTTTTTCTTTTTTCAATGTTTTATTTATTCATGAGAGTCAGAGAGAGAGAGAGAGGCAGAGGCAGAGGGAGAAGCAGGCTCCCCGCCTAGCAGGGAGCCCGATGCGGGACTCGA